AAGCTAACTCAGTTTCTGGATCCCTTGAATCAATGTACTATGCTTTAGCTCTAAACCAATATTACCTTCCAAATTTCAAATCATAGGTGATTACAGGAGATTACTTATTAAAAGTGGCGCTTAAGAAATATTATTCTGTCAAAAAAGAAGATGTTAAATAGGGTGTACTACTCAAAAAGTGCACAAAAATTTAAATTTATGAAGAGCTTCAAAGAGTAGCCTTTTAAAAGCAAATTTAATTGGGTTTTACTCATTAAAGACTGCCAGATAAACCTTGGATGCTAAATATTTTGTACACCCTCGAACCCAATAATCAAGTCTTCCAAAAATTTTAGGATTTAGACCAAGCTTTAGGAATCACCTAAAATGATATTAAGTAAATATCTATGTTATCGAAGGGAACTTTAGTTATTAGACACTTCTTTTGGAAGAAAGAAATCGTTAAGGCTTTTTAAAAGAACTCACGAATAAATAGTCAAGCATAGATAAAAAGTTTAACAAACAAAACTTAATAACTTAAATGCTAAAGTTATCATAATTTCGTAAGTTGATCAAAGAATAATGTGAAGTTACCTATAGTTACCAAAAAAAAGTAACTAGCTGAAAAAGATTTTACACTACGACAGAATTACTCTCTCGAAGTAATGAACTATAAATCGACATACACAGAATTGATATTTTTGGATGAAGCAAGCATTCTCCTATTCATTCTTCTAGATGTAATTAAGAGTTAAAAATCACTAATAAAAAATGTTTTGGAGAATATAAAAACACTTATGTTTAAGAAGATTTATGTGAAAAACCTTGGGTGTCAATAATTATTTTGACAAAAGAAGTTATTGGAATTCTTTTATCAAGAAAATTCAATAAATGAAAAAGTAGCAGTTTGAATATTTTATATGTTTTTAATTAAATAATAATTCTGATGATAAACATAATTTGAAGAGTAAAGTTTATTAAGATCACCAACAACAAGTAAAATTCTTTAATTTTCTTCTGATAATATCTTAATTTGTGGATCAGGAAATAGATTGATGGAGTACAATTTATATAATAATACTGACAAACCAATCATAAATACTAGATATAATGTCAAATATTTCAGCGTTTATAATTAATAATTTTATTCAAGTGTGGATGATCAAAACAATATTCTTTGTAATGGCAAACATATTAAAAGTAAAAACTCACAAATCAAACAAATTAAGCATAGTCCTGATGGAAAAATGATTGCAGTCGCCTACCATAATAAATTAATTATTTACACTTTAGAGATGGAGTAAATAAAAGTGCATTCAAATAAACATTAAATTAATGGTTTTTCTTGGTCACCAGATAGTCGATTTATTTTATCATGGGGAGATGATAATTCCGTCATAATAAATAATGTATTTAAACTGAGATTATATACAGATATTATGTTGCAGGCTCATAAATTTAAAATAGCTTCTGCATTTTTTTTAGAATTTTAATATATTGTAGATTGAAGTGTTTTAGAGTGATGCAACCTGAAATATTGAATTAATTGCAATGTTTAGATGTGGAACTATCTGTATTTAGTTTATAAACTAATTAATAAGTAGAGGTCATTTCTGGTCATTAAGCCCCTATCACTTCATTATAATTTATATAAGCAGAGGAAAAAGTATTATTAGTTTCAGGTTCTTGGGATAAAACCATTAGAATTCATGATCTTTATGCAAGAGGAATGAAGGAAGGAAGTGGAGGAGATTCAATGTTACATAATAGTGAAGTCACTGCTCTTGCAGCTAGAGATAATTAAATTGCTGTAGCTACTATGGGAGGTGAATTAGTACAAGAGAAGAAGGTAAGATAATGAATAATTGGATCAAGTAATTAA